CTTGTGAAACCTCCCCAAGGAGGGGCATCCAGCTCACCCGGTGCTCACCCCGGGCTCACCCTGACCTGCCTCGTTCCAGGAGTGGCCCTGCAGGGACTCTGTGTGCTCTCAGGAGCCTGATCTTTAGAGGAGGACTTACATCCAAAGCCCCTGAGTTGTTTTATGACTTTACACATTTTGGGAAGATGGCAGATGACGAAATCCCATTCATTTCCTCTTTCGGTCCCTCTCTCCTCTCCCTCCCTTCGCAACTCCTCCCCCCCTCCCCCCTTCCTCCCACAAATATGTACTCTTTGCTTACTCTGGGAGGAAGTGTTGTGCTAGGTGCTGGGGATATAGAACAAAAGGCACAAGCCCTGTCCCTAAGCAGCAAAAGAGACAAGGGAGCAGCTGTGGTCAGTGTAGTGAGAGGGATGTAGTGAGAGGGGCCGTGAGGGCATAGGGTGGGGTGGGGGGGTGGCGGTGCCCATAGGGAAGGCACTTAGAAGGAGCTGATGCTTGCGTTGAGGCGTGACAGAGGGTCAGAGAGGTGACCAGACATGGGGGGAAAGGTCCGAGGCCAGGAGAGCATGCTCATTTGAGAAACGCAGGTGACTGGGGAGGGCCAGAGTATGGGATGTGAAGGCTGGACAGGTTGGCCGGCCATCAGATCATGGAGGATTTTATAGGTCATATCAGGGAGTTGACGCTTTATTCTGAGCATAATGGGGACCATAGAAAGGCTTTACCAGGGGAGTGACTTGGTCAGAATTGCCATTTAGAAAGACACTCATTTGCTTCACACCCTATGATGTTAGGCTCCAGGATCCATAAATTTGCACGATGCCTCTGAGTGCCTTTCCTCCCTGAATCTGAGAGGCTCATGACTCAGTCACAGTGTAAAGTCAGGGTGGGCAACTGGGTGGGAAGGGAGTAAGGGAGGAGCTAGACATCAGAACAGAACGTGCGGGGGGTGGGGGGGTAGGGTGGGGAGGGGAATTAGGTTGCATCGGGCCTGCCTCTGGTGGGTAACAGTCTGTGTACCAGAAATACTGAGGAGCAGAGCGCTGAGGATTTGAGGCATAACTGGGTTCTTTCTTGTTTCATTCCCTCTGAATTTCCATCACCCCCATTTACAAAACCTACGGAGGTCAGTGTCTTTCCTGGAGTCATTATGAGTCAGAACACGGATTTCAGCTCCCCAGCTCGTGTTCCGTCACCACCACTCCTGCCCACTAGGGGGCGGTACATGGGGGGAATCTACAGTGAAGGAAACAACCCATATGAGTCATTCTATTCCTTCTAGTTCTACTATTTTTCATAAAAAAAAATGGTGGTCCTGACCAATAAATTAATTTCATGGCCAATAGTCCGTTACAACACATAGGGTGATAGAACATGGGCAGTAAAATGAGGGCTGGGGTATGGGTGAGGCATTCTCTCTCCATCCAAAATGACTTAATTTGTTCTAAGGAAAATGTGCTTTTACCAGAATAGTCGCAAAAATTTATGGTGCAAAATGGGATAATTAATTTATTACATGATTGATTAGTTCAAGACATCTGTGGAGTATCCACACTGGGCAAACCCTGGGGTATACGGCAGAGAATAAAAAGATAATGCCTCTCTTGGGGCACATGTAATCTAAGGTGGAAAGAAACCCATAAAGAATGATTTGCGGTACAATACGTAAGTGCTAAGCAAGGGAACATGCGTGTAACGGGAGCACAGAGCAGGGCGCCAAACCCAGTCTAGGAGAGTTTCCGGAAAACAGGATGTCTCAGAATTGTCCAGGAGATGTAGGTATTAGGTCGGAGGAGGTAGAGGTGGAGGAGGACAGAGGATCCGAGCAGGGCAGTTATGCAGTGTGACACCCCATACTGTGCACGTGTCAGATGGGAGGTGAGGTGGTGGGAGAGGCATCGAGGGGAGAGGAAGGCAAGGACTAGACACAGGACTTTTCCTCCAGGTGGTAGGGAGTGATTGGAAAAGCTGGAAAAGCTCTTATTTTTTCTTGGAAACTATTAAATAATCTCTGCACCCTCCCCAGTCTTTAATGTTACCCTCACCTGATAGGTGAACAATGATTTGGCATTGTGTTAATTTGCATTAACCTGACTGCTGGTGAAGTTAAACGTTTTTCATGTGTTTATTAGTGCTGTACTTATTCATGTCCTTTGTCCATTTTCCTCCTGGGGCTGTAATATGTTTCTTATCGATTTATATGAGCTCTTTATATATTAAGGATAACAAACCTTTGTCATAGCTACTGCATATATTTTCCCCAGCCTTCTAGTTTTGTTTAGAATGCTCCTGACATCCAGAAGTTTT